CACATACATACATACACACACATACACATACAGACATACACACACATACAGACACACACACATACATACACACACACATACACACCCATACACACATACATATGCACATACAAACATATACATACATGCACACATACATATGCATGCGCATACACATACATACACATGAACACATACATACATAAGCACACATACACATGCACACATACACACACATACATGCACACATACATACGCACATATGCATACATACATGCACACATACATATGCATGCACATACACATACATACACACATACACATACATACACACACATACACATACATACACGCACACATACACGCACACACACACATACACGCACACACACATACACGCACACATACATATACACAAACATACACACACATACATACATATACGCACACATACACGCACACATACACACATACATACACACACACACACACACACATACACATACACACACACACACATATGCGCATACTCAGCCACTCGCTGCCTTTCCAGGTCACCGCCTGCTCCTGCTGAAATATTGATGGCAGCGTGGGGGGGAACAGACAAACGCAGGGATGGACGGACAGACCCCACCGTGCACCCAGCACCCACCGCCATGCGGCACCCACTGGGTACCGGGGAGCCCCACACCACCCGCACCCTGCCCGCTGCCCATCACAACCCACAGCACCCACACATGGACGGACAGGCAGGCAGGGGGACGCTGCCCACCCGTGGCATGGGTCCCCTCGGGTGTGTCACCCCCTCTGCAGTGCCCTGCCCTTCACCAGGCATTGGGGGGTCCCAGTGCTGGTGTAGCTCTGTGGGAGCACCGGGAGGCCCCTGCAATCTCTGCCTGCCCCTGTGGTGTGTGCACAGGTCCACGCGGCGGCTGCTCCTGCCCGGGTGTCCCCAGGGTCCCTGCCAGGGGTCTCTGGATGCCCTTGTGCGGCCCCTGTGAAGAGCTGGGTGCCCCCACCAGGGCTGCGTGTCCCAGGGGTGTCCCTGTCCCACCCTCACATCCCTTTGTCCCTGTCCCCCTCCGGCTGCTCCAGGACCACGTCCCCATGTGTGTCCCCTCCAGTGTCTTCCCAGGCAGACGGGGGGGCAGAGCCCCGTCCCCACCCTGCAGGGGATTACGAGGGGCTCAGCCCAGCTCTGGCTAATCCTGGGGATTACATGGGCAGGGCTGGGCAAGGGGGGACACCCCGGGTGCCCCCCTCAAGGACACATCACGCGGCGGCTGGGGACGGCACGAGGGGGGTGTCCCCCGCATCACCCGCCAGGTTCACCATGAGCCCCAGCACATCCCATGGGGGGAGTTGGGAGCCGAGGAAGCGACCGAGCTGGCCCAAAGGCTCCGGTTTATTGGGGCGCGGCGTCAGGCGGTGCCGGTGCCCTGCTGCATGCGCCGCAGCAGCTCCTCGTCCTGCAGCGACAGCTCCGTCAGCTTCTTGCCCATCCTCTCGTGCACCTCCAGGTACTTGGCCACGCACCGGTCCAGGCACACGCTCTCCCCCTTCGACAGCTCCGCGTCCTTGTAGTGGGGGGGGACGCACTTTCGGTGGCACGCCTGTGTCATCCTGCACCGTACCGGCACCCTCAGGCCCTGCGCCCCCGCTGTCACCCAGCACCCCCATGTGCCCACCCTCAGTGCACCCCATTTCCCAGGCAGCACCTATAGAGCCCCCCATGCTCCTGACACCCCACCAGCCCCAGCACCCCACGGACCCCCAGTGCCTCTTGTATCCCCCAGGGCCCTCCCCAGCCACGGGCACCCACAGTAACCCCACAAACCCAGGCATCCCAAGTGCCCCCCCCAGCCATAAGCACCCCCTCGCCAGGAGCACCCCGCATGGTCCTCATTCCCAGGGCCCCCCCAGTGACCCCCAGCCAGCCACGGGCAGCCCCACAGAGCCCCGATGCCCAGCACACCCGGGTACACGCAGGGTCCCGCAGCCATTGGCACCCTCAGTGACCTTCCCCAGACCTGGGCATTCCAGGCGTCACGCCAGCCACGGGCAGCCCCAGGGACCCCCATCCCCTGGCACCCCCGGCCCCTCACTGCCCCCGCCCCGTGCCCCCTGTACCCCCCAGCCCCGCCGGCCCGGCAGCGCGCACCGGTTGTACATGTCTGCCATCATGTCAACCTCCAGCTCGGCTGCCAGCTGCTGCGCCCGCAGCGGGTCCATGGCGCTGCGCAACGGCCCCGCACGCTTCCGTGCCGCTCGGTTCGGTGCCGCTCGGTTCGGTGCCGCTCGGCTGTCCTCGGCCCCGCTCGGTTCTGCCCCGCTCCGTTCGGCCCCGCTCCGTTCGGCCCCGCTCGGCTGCGCTCGGCCCCGCTCGGTTCTGCCCCGCTCCGTTCGGCCCCGCTCGGCTCGGTTCGGGCCGCTCTCGGTTCGGCCCCACTCGGTTCGGTTCGTCCCGACTCGGGACCCCGCGGCAGCTCCCGGCAGGAACCACGTGGGCGCCGCACTTCCGCCCACACGCAGAACGGCCCCGCCCCAGAGCAGGTTTCAGCCAATAAGAAGCCAGGCTGGTGGAGAACAGGACCGCGTCCCCAGCGCTGATTGGGAGCCGCGGGAGGGGGCGTGGTGGCCCCAGCAGCCTCGGAGGGGAGAGGGGGCCGCGCGATTTGCCCCTCACGGGCGGGGGGAGGCACCCCCGATGAGGGGCGGGGCTTGGGGTGGGCTCCGCCCCCTGCCCGTCCCGGGGGGCTCCGTGTCCCCCCCGTGCCCCTGTCCCCCCCCTGTCCCCTCCGTGTCCCCCCGTTCCTGGTCCCCCCGTTCCTGGTCCCCCCGTGCCTCTGTCCCCCCTGTGTCCCCCCCGTGCCCCTGTCCCCCCCCGTGTCCCCCCGTTCCTGGTCCCCCCGTTCCTGGTCCCCACCGTGCCTCTGTCCCCCCTGTGTCCCCTTCGTGTCCCCCCGTTCCTGGTCCCCACCATGCCTCTGTCCCCCCCGTGTCCCCCCGTTCCTGGTCCCCCCGTGCCTCTGTCCCCCCTGTGTCCCCCCCGTGCCCCTGTCCCCCCCCGTGTCCCCCCGTTCCTGGTCCCCCCGTGCCCCTGTCCCCCCCGTGTCCCCCCGTTCCTGGTCCCCCCGTTCCTGGTCCCCACCGTGCCTCTGTCCCCCCTGTGTCCCCTTCGTGTCCCCCCGTTCCTGGTCCCCACCATGCCTCTGTTCCCCCCGTGTCCCCCCGTTCCTGGTCCCCCCGTGCCTCTGTCCCCCCCGTGTCCCCTCCCCCCGGTGCCCCCCCCCGTCTCCCGCTGTCCCGCCCCCTCTCGTGCCCCGCTCGTGTCCCCCCGCCCGGCCCCACGTCCCCCCCGCGCCCCCCCGGCCCCACGCGTGCCCCGCGGCTCGCGGTGACTGAAGGCGGCACCTGCCCCGCCGGGTAAAAATAACCCCGGGCGGGCGGGCGGGGGCAGCGGGAGCGGCCGGAGCGGGACGGGAGCGGCCGGGACGGGGAGAGCGGCACCGGGGACGCGCCGGGGGACAACCGGGAGGGACGGACAGGGGGGACACCGGGGGGGGGGGGGACGACGTGGGGGGCCGGGACACGGGGGGCGGAGGTGGGACACGGGGGGTTGGGAGGAGCTGGGGGGGGGGGGGGGGGGCGGAGGGGTCAGGGGGGGTCTGGAGTGGGAATTGCGGGGCTGGAGATGGGGAAGAGGGGCTCGGGATGGGACACGGGGGTGTGGGAGGGATGCATGGGGAAGTCGGAGGGATCGGGGGGGGGGGGGGGGAGGGCAGAAGGGTTGGGGGACGCCCCAGAGGAGAGATGGGGGTCGGGAGGGGAAATAGGGGGTCCGAGGGGTTCGGGGCAGGACACGGGGAGCTGGAGGGGGAGTATGGGGTGGGGGGTCGGGGGCACACCGGGATCGGGACGTGGGGGGGGGGCGGTACGGGGTCAAAGGGGGTCTGGAGGGAGTTTGAGGGATCGGGAGGGGGAATTTGGGTCCGGAAGGGGCCTTAGAGGGGGTAGGATGGGAAACGTGGGCTCGGGAGCAGGTATGGGGGAGAAGGAAGGGGGAATGGGGGTCGGGATGGGGAAAGGGGGAGTCGGAGTGGGACATGGGATACAGGGAGACTGAGATAGCGGGGTCCGGTATTGGGGGGGGGTCTGGGGGGGGGCGGGGGGGCAGACTGGGGTGCCGGGAAGGGGCACGGGGAGCCTGGATGGGAATGTAGGCTGGGCAGGGGCAGCAGAGCAGACTTGGGGGGAGAATAGGGTTGCCACGGGTGTGGGGGGCACGGGGCCGGGCTGGGGCAAGGGGGGGCACCCCAGTGACAGCCCTGTGCCCCCGCAGCAGTGACCACAGCGGCATGCAGTCCCTGGGAGACACCAAGACCTCCCCACCGGGCACCCCCACACCGGGAACCCCCAGCGCCACTCCAGAGCCTCCCGCGGCGCCAGCGGAGGGCAACGGGGATGGGGGAGACCCCCAAGGAGCGGGGGGGGCTGGGGGGGAAGAGCAGGGGCCAGGGGCAGCGGGGGACTCTGGGGGCGACACCAAGGGGGAGGCTCAGGATGGAGGGGGGGGCAGCGGGATGGGGGGGGATGCAGCGGGGGATGCGGGGGCAGCTCAGGATGCGGGGGGCAGTGCCCAGGGAGCGGGGGACACGGCGGGGGAGGCTGAGGACGTGGGGGGCAGTGGGGGGGACACAGGGGGTGCCGGGGGAGAAGCACCAAAGGACGCCGGGGGCGAAGCGGGGGATGCCGAGGGTGACACCGGGAATGACACCGGGGGTGATGCCGGGGGTGCTGCGGGTGACACCGGGGGTGACACCGGGGGTGACATCGGGGATGCCGGAGGTGACTCCGGGGGTGATGCCAAGGCGGTGGCAGCCGCGGGGGCTGCTTCGGGGGGGCCGCAGGATGCGTCTGGGCCAGGGCCGGCAGCAGCAGGGAGCACCCCGCGGCGGCAGGTGAGACCCGGGGGCCGGGGCCGGGGGTGGCGGTGCCAGCGCAGGGCGGCAGTGAAGGGACAGGGTGACGCTGTCCATGGTGGCGGCACCAGGGCAGGTGACGGTTCCTGTGCCGTCAATGCCACCCTGGCTGTGCCCACAGGAGCCGACCTGGATGCAGGACGAGGATGAGGAGCTGTGGCCCGAGTTCCCTGCCAGCAGCCCCACGTCCCCCCTGTCCCCCACATCCCCCACATCCCCCATGTCCCCAACATCCCCCCTGTCCCCCACATCCCCTATGTCTCCCACGTCTCCCACATCCCCCACAGGTAAGGGCTGTGCCTGGCAGAACCCTGGGGTCATGGCTACCCCACACCCCCATGGGATCCCCTACAGATTCCCCCCATCCCGTTCCCATGGGGCAGGACCTCCAGCCCTGTGCTCTGGGGGTGCCTGGGGAGGATGCAGTTGTCCCCACCCCCTGGTGCCGCCTCCCTTCACAATCCCTCCTTTATCCCCTGCAGCTGGCACCATCGAGGGCTTGGGGGGCAGTGAGAGGTGAGTGTGGGCAGGGGGGGCCCAGCCCCACTGCAGAGCACCCCATGGGCACTCATCCATGTGCCCTCAGGGGTGCTCCAACGGGGGGGCCACGGAGCAAGGTGTCCCCTGGGCCAGTGGGGCAGAGGCCAAGGCTGGAGGGGGCCGTGGGGAGGCCACGTTCGAGCACTCGGGCCCACGGGCGCAGCGCCATCCTGGAGAAGTTTGGAGGGTGAGAGGGGCCTCGCCCTATGGTGGGACAGGGGGCAAGGGCATATGGGGGGGACATGGGGCAGAGAGGGCCACAGAGGAAGGGAGGCCATGGGACAGGAGAGGTACTGGGGGACCATATGGCAATGGGGGTATGTGAGACCTGGGGGGAGGGCATGGGAGGCAAGGGGCAGTAGTGCACATGGGGAGACTTGAGGTCCCTGTGCAAATGGAGGGTGCAGGAGGGTTGAGGGGGCCATGAGACAATGTGTCAGCGGGTGTACTGGGGGAGCGATGTAGGGTGTGTGGGGTACTCCACGGTGCCTGGCATTGCCTGCAGGGCAGCCACGGGGCCAGCCCCAAACCTGAAGCGGGTGGGGGGCACGGCCACGGTGAAGGCGATGCTGCTGGAGTGGTGCCGCGCCAGGACCCGCGGGTACGAGGTGAGAACAGGGTCGATGCTGCGGGGCGGCCGTGGGGCAGCCGTGGGGCACTGTGGGGGGGGCATGGGGCTGTGTGGGGGGACCATGGGGCAGCCGTGGGGCAGTGCAGGGCAGTATGGGGGGGCCGTGGGGCAGCCTGACCCCTCCGCCCGCTGCAGTACGTGGACGTGCAGAACTTCTCGGGGAGCTGGGGCAGCGGCCTGGCCTTCTGCGCACTCCTGCACAGCTTCTTCCCTGACGCCTTCGACTACGGCAGCCTGGAGCCGGGCGCGCGGCGCCACAACTTCACCGTGGCCTTCACCACCGCCGAGTGAGTGAGAGCAGCCCCGGCCCCGGCCCCGCACGGACGGGCGGCCCCGGCTGACCCCGTGTCCCCGCAGGGAGCGGGCGGGCTGCGCCCCGCTGCTGGACGTGGAGGACATGGTGCGAATGGCGGTGCCCGACGCCAAGTGCGTCTACACGTACCTGCAGGAGCTGTACCGCTGCCTCGTGGCCAAGGGGCTGGTGAAGACCAAGAAGCGCTGAGCGGGGTCCCCGCGGTTCCCCCCGGGGACACCCCCTGCTGCGGTCCCCACTAGTAAAGGCTGTGGTGATGGATGGGCTGCGGTGGCCTCATCTCCCGTGGGCGCACAGCCCCGCTGACACCCCCCGATGCCTCCCTCCCCCTAAGTGAGACCCCGCGGGGCCAATGCAGGAGCAGGAGAACCTTTATGAACCCACGTAACGGTGAAGCCCCGGAGCGGGCTCAGGGCTCCGGCCACGGCTCCGCGTGCCGCCGCGCGTGCTCCTCCGCGCGGCGATGAAACAGCTCGGGCCGGTCCCGCAGCTCCCGGGCCAGGTCCTGCCGCAGCACCCGCTGCGGGTCCGGGCTGTCCAGCAGCAGCAGCAGGTCCTGCAGCACTACGGGCACCGGGGGGGGGGGAGCGGTCAGGACGGGCAACCCCCGGTGCCGTGCCCTCGACACCCCCGGGGCGCCCACCTTGTGTGGCGCGGGTGCTCGGCACCCAGTGCTGGGTGGAGGTGAGGGGCTGGCACACGTGGCCCTCGGCGTCCACGCCGGGGTGGTAAATGCTGGTGCAGAGCCTGGCGCGGGGCGGGGACAGCGGGTGGTGGGGCGAGAACGCCAGCTCGAACCGGAAGGCGCCGGCGTTGTACGGGGGGTTGTTCTGCCGCGGTGGTGGGGGGCACACATCAGCAACCCCCCCCCCAACAGCACCCATGGGGAGGACCCTGTCCCAGCCGTGATCTCCTGCGCTCCCCGTGGAGACCTCCCCCCGCCTGAGCCAGCAGGAGGGGAACCCCAACCCGGTGCCCCCGCCCCATGCTGCCCTCACAGGGACACCCCTGGAGACCAGAGGGGAACCCCAATCCCCCACTTCCACAGGGGCCACCCCTCACTCCGGGCCCCCCCCCCGATGCCCCCCCCGGCCCGCACCGGCAGCAGGAGCCCCCCCCATCGCAGCACGTTCCCGTCCAGCGGCCCCAGCTCCCGGGCCCCGCCCCAGCGCCGCGCCTCCTCCAGCTCCTGCGGGGGGGGGGAAGGGCGGGGTCAGACCGGACACGCCCCTCAGGGTGGGGCTTCTCCCAGAGGTGCGCTCCCATTGGCCGGACCGCTCCGCGGGACACGCCCCCATGGACGGGACCCAGCCTCAGGGGCGGAGCCGCAGCGCTTGGCCACGCCCCGTCTCCCAATGAGGGCGGGGCCCAACAAAGCCCCGCCCCGCCTCGGTTCCGCTCCTGCCAGGGAACCGAAACCGGAGCGCGGAGCTCCCCGACAGGGCTGGATTGGCTTCAACCGGCACCGGCACCGGCACCGGCACCCCTGCACCGGCACCCCTGACACCCCTGCACCGGCACCCCTGACACCCCTGCACCGGCACCCCTGACACCCCTGCACCTGCATCCCCTGTACCCCCTGCACCGGCACCCCTGACACCCCTGCACCTGCATCCCCTGTACCCCCTGCACCGGCACCCCTGACACCCCTGCACCGGCACCCCTGACACCCCTGCACCTGCATCCCCTGTACCCCCTGCACCGGCACCCCTGACACCCCTGCACCGGCATCCCCTGATATCCCTGCGACATCCCCTGACACCTCCTGCACCGGCTGCACCTGCATCCCCTGTACCCCCTGCACCGGCACCCCTGACACCCCTGCACCGGCATCCCCTGTACCCCCTGCACCGGCACCCCTGACACCTATGCACCGGCATCCCCTGTACCCCCTGCACCGGCACCCCTGACACCCCTGCACCGGCATCCCCTGTACCCCCTGCACCGGCACCCCTGACACCCCTGCACCTGCATCCCCTGTACCCCCTGCACCGGCACCCCTGACACCCCTGCACCGACATCCCCTGACACCCCTGCACCGGCATCCCCTGTACCCCCTGCACCGGCACCCCTGACACCCCTGCACCGACATCCCCTGACACCCCTGCGACATCCCCTGACACCTCCTGCACCGGCATTCCCTGTACCCCCTGCATTGACATCCCCTGACACCCCTGCACCGGCATCCCCTGTACCCCCTGCACCGGTACCCCCTGAACTGGAGACCCTTTGCCCGGTACTGCCGCCCCCCGCCTCTCTGTACCGGCACCCCGAAATCCACTGCATCCCTGCACCCCGGTACCGGAACCCCTCATCCCTCCGCCACCCCTTCCCCCGGTGCTGGCACCGCTCGGTGCTGACACCAAGACCCCCACTGCGGTCCCGCCTCCGCCCCCAGCCCCGTCCAGCCCCCGGTGACCCCGGTGTCACCCGCACCTTGGCGATCCTCGCAGCCATGGTCAGCGATGGCCAATGCCGGTGGGCGGGGCTTCACCGGGACACGCCCCGCGTCACGGAGGTTGAGGGCGGGGCCTTGGGCACCCCGGGGCAATAGAGACGGGGTGATGAGGGGCCAGACAAGCCTTGGGCAGCCGGGACCACCGGAGCCGGTAGTGAGGGGACAGACCTGCCCCACATGGCCGTGGGCATGGCCGCGCTGGCAGGGCGGCACCCAGAGGTGTCCGTGCCCCAGCGCTTGCTGGGAGGGGTGGCGAGGGCAGCCTGCCCCACAGCTGACTGCCGAGGGGCAGGAGGTTGTGTCTTCTAGTTCTGGGGTGGGAAGGCTCCTTGGGGACTGCATCCCCCCGATCATAGAGACAAGGTTGGGGAGCTTGAGCTGGAGCTTGAACGGTGAGACACCACATGAGTCATAGAGCTGGGGCAATTGGATGGCTAGACTGGCCCTTGTCACCGCAGGGATCATAGGTAGGGGACAGTTGGGTGGATACACTGCCCCTCACCACCACAGGGGTTATACAGGGGGTAGCTGGGTCTCCAGAGCACCCCACCTCCCGAAGGGAGCCTGCCCCAGGGGCTGGTCCTCCAGCACTGCAGCAGCGTGAGACTGGAAGGGGGGGGGGCCGCATCCTGCCCCGGGCGCCTGCGCCTGACACCCCCCCCCCCCCCTCCCCCCGGGCTGATTTACGGGAAGTGCCAGCAGCTCCTTAATCTTTAACCAGGCCAGGCCGGACCCGGGCACATCTCCCGGAGCCGACCGGACCCGCCGGGCCCCGACCCGCCGGCACCCAGGTGGGCCCAGGGAACTGCCCCTTCCTGTCCCCCAAACCCTGCGGCTCAGACCGGGATACCCCGGGGTGGGGTGAGGGAATGAGGGTGCAGGGAACGGGGGTGCAGGGTGCGGAGGGGTGGGAGGGTGTCGGGTGCCAGGGCTGGGCGCGGAGCTGGGGGTGCTGGGTGCCCTTGACCAGTACCTGCCCACCAGGATGCCCACCAGGATGCTCTGGCTGCCCCTCGTGTGGCTGCTGGCCACAGCCACGGCCACTGTCACGCTGGTAAGTCTGGCCTTGGGACACGAGCTCCCCTTACCTGAGCCCCCGGGTGTCCCCCTGCCCACCTCACCCAGGTCCCCGTGCACAGGTGCCCAAGCCAGAGACCTCTCCCAGCGCACCGAAGCTGCTCAGAGAGTCCCCGCTGCCACCGGTACCGCCCCGTCCTGCCCCCGCACCATGGGGGGACGCGGGGGCCCCCGTCCTGCCCCCCCGAGTGCACCCCGAGCTGCTGCCTGCCGCGGCTGCTCCCCACGAGACCACAGACCCCCCCAGCCCCGCAGCGCCCGAGGGGGCACACATGGAGCCGGGCACCACGGCCAGCGGGAGCACCTCAGCTCCAGCACCCGGCAGCACCAGCGGCAGCCCCGGCCCCAGTGCCCCCCCGTGCCCCGGGGACGAGGAGCCGGCCGAGGACTGCGGGAAGCCCACGGAGGAGCAGCGTGCGGCCGTGTCCGAGGCAGTGGCCACCTTCGCCCTCCGGTTCTACCAGCGCATGGCGGAGGCTGAGCGGCCCGAGGCTAACCTGCTCTTCTCCCCCATCACCGTGGCCATGGGGCTCTCGCACCTTCTGCTGGGTGAGGCGCCGGCACCACGGCCGTGCCAGCCCGGGTGCCCCATGGGTGCGGTGCTGAGCCTGCCCCGTGCCTGCAGGCGCCCGTGGTGAGACCCGAGAGCGCCTGGCCGCCGTTTTGGCGTACCCCCCTGGCCTGGGCTGCGTGCACAGCGCCCTGCGGCTCCTCAGCACCGCGCCCGGGCTCTTCTCTGCCACCCAGATCTTCCACCACCCAGGTGACGGGGTGCCGGGAGGTGCCGGGGGTACCGGGGGTGCGGGCTCAGGCTGACACCAGCCGTGCCGCCGGCCAGACCTGCACCTCCGGACCCGCTTCCTCAATGAGTCCTGGCGCTTCTACAACACCCGCCCGTGGGCACTGAGCGGCAACGAGAGCCTGGACCTGCAGCGCATCAACGCCTGGGTGCGCGAGGCCAGCCGGGGGCTGCTGCCGGAGCTCCTGTCCACGCTGCCTCCCGAGCCCCAGCTGGTGCTGCTCAGCGCGGTGCGCCTGCAGGGTACGGCTCCAGGATGGGATTGGCGCCGGGATCGAGCACGTCCACGTCCATCTTGTGCCGGGGCAGCGCACAAGGAGATGTGGAGCTGCTGGAGCGCGTCCAGGGGAGGGCATGGAGCTGCTGCGAGGGCTGGAGCAGCTCTGCTCTGGAGCCAGGCTGAGAGAGCTGGGCTGGGGCAGCCTGGAGAAGGCTCCTGAAGGGGAGACCTGAGAGCAGCTCCAGTGCCTAAAGGAAACCTGGAGAGGGGCTTTGGACAAGGGATGTAGGGACAGCCCAAGGGGAATGGCTTGAACCTGCCCGAGGGGAGATCTGAGATGAGCTCTTAGGCAGAAGCTCTTCCCTGTGAGGGTGCTGAGGCGCTGGCACAGGGTGCCCAGAGCAGCTGTGGCTGCCCCATCCCTGGCAGTGTTCAAGGGCAGGTTGGACACAGGGGCTTGGAGCAAGCTGCTCCAGTGGAAAGGGTCCCTGCCCATGGCAGAGGGTTGGAACTAGAGGAGCTTTAAGGTCCCTTCCAGCCCAAACCATTCTATGGCTCTGTGTCTGTGCCTGGGATCCGGTGAGGGGCTATTCCCGTGGTCACCCCTGCAACCCACTGAGCCCATTCCCGGTGCCGTGCCCCTGCAGCTGCCTGGCTCACGCCGCTGGATGTGAAGCAGACGGTGCCACTGCCCTTCCTGCGCCCCGGGCGCCCCCCGCGCCTGGTGCCCACCATGACCAGCAAGAAGTACCCGGTGGCCTCTTTCATTGACCCCCACCTGCAAGTCCAGGTACCCCCAACGGCTGGGAGAGAGCTGGGGTGCGGGCTGTGACATCGCTGCTGTGGCACTGGAGGGGTGCTGAGCTGTGATGCCACTGTGGTGTCACCAGGGGCTTTCTATGTTTCGAGGTCCCACGGGTGTCACTGGAGGTCTCCATGTTTTGGGGTGCAGGGGTCTCCCGGGGGATGTCCTGGGGTGTCACTGGGGGTATTATGGGGTGTATCACAGAGGGAGTCACTGGGGGGGGTGTCACTGGAGGGGGGTGTATCCCGGGGGGTGTGTACTCAGTGTGGGGGGTGTTACTGAGGGGTTGTCTTACTCGGGGGTGTCATTTGGGGCTGTCTCACTGGGGGCTGTCTCACTGCAGGGATGTCACTGGGGGCTGTCTCACTGGGGGATGTCACTCGGGGTCTCACACGGGGGTTACTGGGGGGGTGTCACTGTGGGAGTATTACGGGGGGCTGTCTCACTGGGGGGTGTTAATGTGGGGATGTCACTGGGGGCTGTCTCACAAGGGGCTGTCTCACACTGGGGTGTCTCAATGTGGGGATGTCACTGGGGGCTGTCTCACAAGGGGCTGTCTCACACTGGGGTGTCTCACTGTGGGGGTGTCACTGGGTGCTGTCTCACTGTGGGGGTGTCACTGGGGGCTGTGTCACGGGGCTGTCTCACTCGGGGCTGTGTCACTGTGGGGGTGTCACTGTGGGGCTGTCTCACACGGTGTCTCTGTCTCACATGGTTTCTGTCTCACTTGGTGTCTGTCTCTCACTGTGGTGCTGTCTCACTCGGTGTCTGTCACTCGGTGTCTGTCTGTCTCTCACGGTGTCTGTCTCACTTGGTGTCTATCTCACTCTGTCTCTGTCTGTCTCACCGGTCCTGTCTCACCGGTGCTGGCTGTCTCGGTGCTGTCTCTCACTGTGGTGCTGTCTCACTCTGTCTCTCTGTCTCACCGGTGCTGTCTCACTCGGTGTCTGTCTCTCTGTCTCTCTCGGTGCTGTCCCTCTTGCTGTCTCTCTGTCACTCTGTCTCTGTCTCACCGGTGCTGTCTCACTCTGTCTCTGTCTCACCGGTGCTGTCTCACTCTGTCTCACCGGTACTGTCTCACTCTGTCTCTGTCTCACCGGTGCTGTCTCACTCTGTCTCTGTCTCACCGGTGCTGTCTCACTCTGTCTCTGTCTCACCGGTGCTGTCTCACTCTGTCTCACCGGTGCTGTCTCTGTCTCACCGGTGCTGTCTCACTCTGTCTCACCGGTACTGTCTCACTCTGTCTCTGTCTCACCGGTGCTGTCTCACTCTGTCTCTGTCTCACCGGTGCTGTCTCACTCTGTCTCTGTCTCACCGGTGCTGTCTCACTCTGTCTCACCGGTGCTGTCTCTGTCTCACCGGTACTGTCTCACTCTGTCTCTGTCTCACCGGTGCTGTCTCACTCTGTCTCTGTCTCACCGGTGCTGTCTCACTCTGTCTCACCGGTGCTGTCTCTGTCTCACCGGTACTGTCTCACTCTGTCTCTGTCTCACCGGTGCTGTCTCACTCTGTCTCTGTCTCACCGGTGCTGTCTCTGTCTCACCGGTGCTGTCTCTGTCTCACCGGTGCTGTCTCTGTCTCACCGGTGCTGTCTCTGTCTCACCGGTGCTGTCTCACTCTGTCTCACCGGTGCTGTCTCTGTCTCACCGGTGCTGTCTCACTCTGTCTCTGTCTCACTCTGTCTCTGTCTCACCGGTGCTGTCTCACTCTGTCTCTGTCTCACCGGTGCTGTCTCTGTCTCACCGGTACTGTCTCACTCTGTCTCTGTCTCACCGGTGCTGTCTCACTCTGTCTCTGTCTCACCGGTGCTGTCTCTGTCTCACCGGTGCTGTCTCACTCTGTCTCTGTCTCACCGGTGCTGTCTCACTCTGTCTCTGTCTCACCGGTGCTGTCTCTGTCTCACCGGTGCTGTCTCACTCTGTCTCTGTCTCACCGGTGCTGTCTCACTCTGTCTCTGTCTCACCGGTACTGTCTCACTCTGTCTCTGTCTCACCGGTGCTGTCTCACTCTGTCTCACCGGTACTGTCTCACTCTGTCTCTGTCTCACCGGTGCTGTCTCACTCTGTCTCTGTCTCACCGGTGCTGTCTCACTCTGTCTCTGTCTCACCGGTACTGTCTCACTCTGTCTCTGTCTCACCGGTGCTGTCTCACTCTGTCTCACCGGTGCTGTCTCACTCTGTCTCACCGGTGCTGTCTCACTCTGTCTCACCGGTGCTGTCTCACTCTGTCTCTGTCTCACCGGTGCTGTCTCTGTCTCACCGGTGCTGTCTCACTCTGTCTCTGTCTCACTCTGTCTCTGTCTCACCGGTGCTGTCTCACTCTGTCTCTGTCTCACCGGTGCTGTCTCACTCTGTCTCACCGGTACTGTCTCACTCTGTCTCTGTCTCACCGGTACTGTCTCACTCTGTCTCTGTCTCACCGGTGCTGTCTCACTCTGTCTCTGTCTCACCGGTGCTGTCTCACTCTGTCTCTGTCTCACCGGTGCTGTCTCACTCTGTCTCACCGGTGCTGTCTCTGTCTCACCGGTGCTGTCTCTGTCTCACCGGTGCTGTCTCTGTCTCACCGGTGCTGTCTCACTCTGTCTCTGTCTCACCGGTGCTGTCTCTGTCTCACCGGTGCTGTCTCACTCTGTCTCTGTCTCACTCTGTCTCTGTCTCACCGGTGCTGTCCGTCTCGGTGCCGGTGTCACCGGTGCTGCCCTCAGGTTGGGCGCTTGGCGCTGCGGGGGGATCTGAGCCTGGTTCTGCTGCTGCCGCTGGGGCCGCCGGGGGCGCTGGGGGCGCTGGAGCGCGCGCTGGACCCCCCCGCGCTGCTGCGCCTGCTCCGGCGCGCGGCCCGCGCCCCACCCCGCGCCACCGCCCTCGCGCTGCCGCGCGTGCGCCTCGACGTGCCCCTGGACGTGGTGCCGCTGGTGCACGACATGGGTGAGCGCGCTGACGTCGTCCGGTGACGTCACCAGCCCCGGGTCCCCTCCCCGGCGCCCCCAGTGCTTCCCGTGTCCCCGGTGGTCTTCAGTGTCCTCCGTGTTGCCCAACATCCCCAGGGACCCCAGCATCCCCAGTGCTCCCCAGCATCCCAGAGACCCCAACATCCCCAGTGCTCCTCAACATCCCCAGTGCTCCTCAACATCCCCAGTGCTCCCCAGCATCCCAGGGACCCCAACATCCCCAGTGCTCCTCAACATCCCCAGTGCTCCCCAGCATCCCAGGGACCCCAACATCCCCAGTGCTCCCCAGCATCCCCAGTGCTCCCCAGCATCCCAGGGACCCCAGCATCCTCAGTGCTCCCCAACATCCCAGGGACCCCAGCATTCTCAGTGCTCCCCAACATCCCAGGGACCCCAGCATCCCCAGTGCTACCCAGCAACCCAGGGACCCCGTACCTTTGGTGTCCCCCACTATCCCTGCTCTCCCTCATGTCCCCACCACCCCTAATGCGCCCCATGGCTCCCAGTGCCCTTCATGTCCCCCTCGTCCCCACATCGCCTCGCTGTCTCTGGTGTCCCCCACGTCCCCTTGGGCCTCCTCATCCCTGACGCCCCCGGCTCCCCCCGTGGTGCCTCCACGCCGCCCTTCCCCGCAGACTTCGGGCTGTTCCTGGACGCGGAGCTGTGCGGACTGGCGCGGGGCGCAGCGGTGGCCGTGGACGCTGCGCGGCACCGCGCGGTGCTGGCGCTGGACGAGGCGGGCGTGGAGGCGGCGGGGGCCATGGCCGTGTCGGTGGCGCGCTCGGCTCCGCTGCTGGAGGCGCTGCGCCCCTTCCTCTTCGTCCTGTGGCACGACAGCGGCGACGTCCCCGTCTTCATGGGCCGCCTCAGCGATCCCCCGCCTTGACTCCCTCCCTCCATCCATCCCTCCCTGCTTCCTCCTCTCTTCCATCCTTCCCTCGGTCCCTCTCTGCCTCCTTCCCTCCAGCCCCTCTTCCATCTCCCCATTGTCCCTGTTTTCCTTCCTCCCATGCCTCCGTCTCTCCCTTCCTCTTTGTTTCTTTTCCCTCCCTCCATTCCCAGTCCCTCCATCTCTCCTCTCTTTCTTTTCCCCGTCCCTCTTTCCTTCCAAGCACTCTCCATCCCCATCCTTCCCTCTTTTCCCTCGCTACCTCCTTCCCTCCATCCATCCTTCTCCCCGGTTCCTTTTCTCCCTCTATTCCTCTTTACCCCCATCCTCCCTTCTCTCCCTCCCCATCTCCCCACTCTTGACTCCCAGCCCGACAGAGCACTGTGGGCTGTGTGTGTCCCCGTGCCTCTGTTTCCCCACCAGCTCTGGCCCCCAATAAACGCCCTGAGCTCTGCACGGTGCCTGCATGGGGAGGGGATAGGGGCAGCCCGGGGCGGCGGGGCACTTTGGGGGCTATGGGGTTCCCCCCCCCCAGGCAGAGCGGGGGGTGCTGACACCTCCCACCCTCCTACAAAAAAAGCTTTTATTGCCCTAGAAAAGCCCCGAGGCAGCGGCTGCACCGGGTGGGTGGGTGGGGGCGATGGGCACCTGCTGCCAGCACCCACCATGGGTGGTGCTGGGGGTGCTCCCCCCCGCACTCAGTCCCAGCCGTTCTCCTTCACCATGTGGGACATCTCGATGATGAACTTCCCCTCCTTGTACTTCTGGCTGCTCTCGAAGGCCTGTTCCTGGGGGGGGGGGGGGGGGGGGGGGCGGTGCATGAGACCCCCGTGCCTGAGGGGGACCCTAGGCCACGGTGGGGGGTGCCCAGGGGCTGCCCTCACCTTGGCTGCAGGATGCCCAGGGGGAGCCACAGCCGGGGGTTGGGATGCAGAGAAGGGGTTGGGGTACCCGGGTGGGGCTGAGGCATGGGGCAGGGGTTGGGGTTCAGGGGCAGGGTTGGGGTGCAGGGGCAGAGCTGGGGTTCAGGGGCAGGGTTGGGGTGCAGGGGCAGGGTTGGGCTGCAGGGCCAGGGTTGGGGCTGCAGAGCAGAGCTGGGGTTCAGGGGCAGGGTTGGGGTGCAGGGCCAGGGTTGGGGTGCAGGGGCAGAGCTGGGGTTCAGGGGCAGGGTTGGGGTGCAGGGCCAGGGTTGGGGTGCAGGGGCAGGGTTGGGGTGCAGGGGCAGAGCTGGGGTTCAGGGGCAGGGTTGGGTTGCAGGGCCAGGGTTGGGGTGCAGGGCCAGGGTTGGGGTGCAGGGGCAGAGCTGGGGTTCAGGGGCAGTGTTGGGGTGCAGGGCCAGGGTTGGGGTGCAGGGGCAGAGATGGGGTGCAGGGCCAGGGTTGGGGTGCAGGGGCAGGGTTGGGGTGCAGGGGCCAGGGTTGGGGTGCAGGGGCAGAGCTGGGGTTCAGGGGCAGGGTTGGGGTGCATGGCCAGGGTTGGGGTGCAGGGGCAGAGCTGGGGTTCAGGGGCAGGTTTGGGGTGCTCTGGATACCCATTCACGGGTCACTCACGTATTTCCAGCCCAGGGTGGTTTTGCAGCTCTGGCAGAAGATATCCGCCACCGAGTGCAGCCACGTCAGCAGCAGCCGCTGCTCCGCAGGGCCACAGCCCACGTTCACCCTGCACCGAGAGAGCCGTGTGCCACCGGCACAGCCCGGCACAGCACAGCCTGGCACCGCCAGCACCGCATCCGGGTCATTGCCTGGTGCCACTTCCCCCCCCCACCCCAGCCGCCGTCCCGGTGCGCGGTACTCACACCGAGTTGAACAGGTAGGCACGGCCGTGGCTGCCCTGGAACGACTGTGGGGACACGGCGGGAGTCACTGGCTGTGCCCCGCAGACCCCGACACCCCGTGTCCCCCCCGCTGCATCACCGTACGAGACAGCACAGGGGACACCTCGATGTGAGCACCACGGGGGCACCCTGCAGCCGGGGGGGACACCGACTGCCCTGGGGACACTGGGGCAACGCTCAGAACCCTGCGGACCCCGCGGGGGACGTGTGCTATAGAGCGGTCCCGGGGGGGGACCCCGACTGCAGCGGGGACACCACGGGTTGAAGCTCAGAGCCCCTGGACCACCCCGGGGGGATGCTCAGAGCCCCAGCAGCACCTTGGAGATGAGCTCCTCGTGGCGGGCGAGGTGAGCGCGGCAGTGCACGCAGCTGTAGGTGCGGTGCGAGCGGGGCAGGTAGCTGCGGAACGTGCGGGGGGGCCGACGGCGGCGGGGGGGGGGGGGGCCCGTGGCGGGCGGCAGCGCCCCGGGGGGCACCGCGGCTCCCCCGCAGAGCCGCTCGCAGGGGAAGCAGCGCAGCAGAGCGCCCAGGGCCGTCCTTCCGCGGAGCACGAGGGCGGAGAGGGGGCGGCGGCCTGCGAGAAGATAACGGCGGGCGGTGAGGGGGGCCCCCCCCCCATAGCCCCGCCGGCAGCTGAGACCCGGCAGATCCTCACAGCACTGGGGAGTGTCACAGAAACGGGGAGTGAGGGGCAGGTGAGAGGATCGGGGGCTCCTCCTGAGAGGGTCTGGAGAGCCGGGGGGTGTCCCAGGGGGACAGTGGGTGTCCGGAGAGAGGACACTGGGGGTCCTGAGAGGGGTGTGGTGGGGGTCCCGGGGAAGGGACAGCGTGCCGAGAGGGGACACTGGGCACCCCAAGGGGGGGTAATGGGGGTCCCAGGGGGGACAACTGGGGTACGGGGGGTGCCTGTGGGGGGATGATGGGGTGGGGGCTCGAGGGGGGTGTGGGGGGGCGGGAGCCGCTCACCGCTGTCCCCGCTGCCGCCGTTGCCGCTGTCCCCGGGCCGGGCACCGGGCGGGGGGGGGGGTGCTGCGTGCCCGGGAACCGCATCACGGCAACGTGACTCATCCCGCGCCGTGACGTCACCGCCCGCACCTGCGACGTCAGCGCCGCCGCCGGTGCCCAGGGCCCCTCGGACCCCCCCCCCCCTCAGCGGGGTCACAGCAGTCAGGCGGAGGGGGGCGCTGTGAGCCAATGACATGCAGATGAGATGCAAATGAGTCGGGCCCGCGCCAACAAATGGAAACCCAGCCTAACGACACGTAACGGAGGCAGAGGGGGGTGCTCGAGGCCCGTATGCAAATGAGATGCAAAAGACGTGCGTTACACATCACCCCGCGCCGCTGCCATGGCAACCTGCGCCGCTGCTGACCCCGCCCCCCCCGGGCGCGCAGTTCTGACATCACTTCCGGCGCAGCTTTCTGCCCCGGAAGCGCGGCGGCTCCGGTAAGAGGGCTCGGGGGCGGGCGGGGGCAGCGGCGGTGCCATGGCAACGGGGTGAGCCCGGGGGAGGCCCGCAAGGGGCGGGAGGGGCTCGGGGCAGGCCCGGCCCGGCCCCGCTCACCCCGAGCCGGCGCCCTCCCGCAGCGCTGAGGGTCGCGCCATGGCGGACGACGGCGGCGAGGAGAAGAAGCAAGTGGCCAAGTTCGAGCTGGAGCGGGAGACGGAGCTGCGGTTCGAGGTGGAGGCGTCGCAGACGGTGCAGATGGAGCTGCTCAGCGGCATGGCTGAGGTGTTCGGCACCGAGCTCACCCGCAACAAGAAGTTCACGTTCGACGCCGGCGCCAAGGTGGCCGTGTTCACGTGGCACGGCTGCACCGTGCAGCTCAGCGGCCGCACCGAGGTGGCCTACGTGTCCAAGGACACGCCGATGCTGCTGTACCTCAACACGCACACAGCGCTGGAGCAGATGCGGCGCCAGGCAGAGCGCGAGGATGAGCGTGGGCCCCGCGTCATGGTGGTGGGACCCACCGACGTGGGCAAGTCCACCGTGTGCCGCCTGCTGCTCAACTATGCCGTGCGCCTGGGCCGCCGGCCCACCTTTGTGGAGCTGGACGTGGGGCAGGGCTCTGTCTCCATCCCTGGCACCATGGGCGCGCTGTACATCGAGCGGCCGGCCGACGTGGAGGAGGGCTTCTCCCTCCAGGCCCCGCTCGTGTACCACTTCGGCTCCACCACGCCTGGCACCAACATCAAGCTGTACAACAAGGTGAGAGCAGGAGCGCCCATGGGGGTTTGAGCCTGGGAACTGGCGCAGTTCAGAGCACGTCTGTCCCATTGCTTTTGACTCCGCACAGGATAGCGGCATGTCCCTGCCTGAGCACTGCGCCCACTTGTGTGCGCCACAGCTCCACAGAGGTGTAGGGGATGCCAAGGTGGAGAGCAGAGGTGTGTAACAGCAATGATGGAGGGTCTGGAGAAGCCCCTTGAGGAGCCTGGAGCGGGAGGGCTGAGGGCCTATGACTGAGCTTCTTGCCCCCGGCCAGGCCCCTCACAGGCTACTGTGGAGAGTGAAGCCAAAGCTGTAGGTTGCATTGAGCGAGCTTGGCCCATGGGATTGTTGAGTGAGAGGGCACCAAGTGTGGGTGCGGCCATGGTCTGATTGCTCTGGTGTGGAGCTGGAGTGAGCCTGAGCGTGGTGGCTGTCACCATGCAGCATCCTACCCCGTAGGGTCCCCCCTGGATCTTCCTGCTGCTGCTGTTTGGTGAGAGAGGCCTTGCTTGGCTGAAGGCCACCATAGCCATGTGCTGCCCTTGTCCTTGGAACAGAAAAGCAGCTCTCTGTCCTTTAAGTGCTTGTAGAACAATTTAGGAATGGTTTCTGCTGCCCTCAAGGGAAACTGGCCCTTGGGCTGTCAGCTGAGTGGGGAGTGAAGGATTTTATTCCAGGGGCCTGCTCAGGAGCTCGACATGGCTCTGGTGGCCCAGCAGCACATGACCAAGGGTCCTGGGGAAAGTGGAGTGTCACAGTGTCCCTGAGCAGTGGGACAGGCCCAGCCTCTGGCCTCCTGCCATCCCTGCAGGACTGCTCCATGGAGTTCTCGCTGTGTGGTGCTGCTGCAGGGATTGAGATTTTGGGGTGTTGAAGGTGGTGGGGGTGGTGATGAAGTGACCCAGGACATGGGTGCCCCCAGTGGGTGCCTGTGTCCTGACCCCTCCGCCCGTGTCCCCCTGCAGATCACGTCCCGCCTGGCCGACGTGTTCAACCAGCGCTGTGAGGTGAACCGCCGCGCCTCGGTCAGTGGCTGCGTCATCAACACCTGCGGCTGGGTGAAGGGCTCTGGTTACCAGGCGCTGGTGCACGCCGCCTCCGCCTTCGAGGTGGATGTGGTGGTGGTGCTGGACCAGGAGCGGCTCTACAACGAGCTCAAGAGGGACCTGCCCCACTTCGTGCGCACGGTGCTGCTGCCCAAGTCTGGTGGCGTGGTGGAGCGCTCCAAGGACTTCCGCCGGGAGTGCCGGGATGAGCGCATCCGTGAGTACTTCTATGGCTTCCGTGGCTGCTTCTACCCCCACGCCTTTGATGTCAAGTTCTCCGACGTGAAGATCTACAAGGTGGGGGCTCCCACCATCCCGGACTCCTGCCTGCCGCTGGGCATGTCACAGGAGGACAACCAGCTGAAGCTGGTGCCGGTGACGCCGGGGCGGGACATGGTGCATCACCTGCTGAGCGTCAGCACTGCCGACAGCCCTGACGACAGCATCTCGAGCACGAGCGTGGCAGGGTTCATCGTGGTGACAGGCGTGGACCCCGAGCGCCAGGTGTTCACCGTGCTCTCGCCCGCGCCGCGCCCGCTGCCCAAGAACTTCCTGCTCATCATGGACATCCGCTTCATGGACCTCAAGTAGGGCCGAGCCGGAGCGGCCCCGGCGCCCCCCCCCGGGTTTATTTTACACTTTTGTACCGGTTCTTATTAAACCTCGAGGCCTCTCGCTCCCGGGTCGCTGTCGGGGCTATCCGGGGCTGGTATCGGACTGGCCGAGGCGGCGGCAGCGCGGGGCCGGACCCGGTCACGGTCTCTCCACATGGCCCGGCCCCGCCATCCCCTCCCCGCGCTGCGCGTCCGCCGGTCCAGGGGCACCGCGTCCCTTTGCCCGGCCCTGCCGTAGTACGTTCCGCGCATGCGCCGTCCGTCCCCCCCCCCCCTCGGGTTGCCGCTGGCGCGCCCGCCTGCGCGCGCTCCCGCAGGCTCCCTCTCGCGCATGCGCGATGCCACCGGTTCTGGGAGGTTCCCGGGGCGGCAGCCAATGAGGGGCGGCGTTGAGGGTGCGAGAGACCCGCGGTCCGCGCGCAGGCGCGCCAGTGACGTCAGACGCGGCCGTGACGTCGTGCGCAGCCGCGGAGCGCGGCCGCCGTCCGTGCCCGGGAGTCCTGGTCGCGCGCTCGCGGCCTCCCCCCGCCCGCCGCCGGTGAGTCACGTGGTGCCGCGACCCCCCGCGCCCGGTGCAGCCGCGCCCTCCCCACCTCGCGGGCCCCATCCCCGCCCCGGTCCCCGCGGCCCCGCCCCGCACCGGAGGGGCCGCAGCCCCGGCACCGGCCCGGGCCCGCCCGCGGGAGAGGGCTCAGACCCCGCTGCTCCCGGGCCGGAGCCTGCCCCTGCCCCCGCCGCGGCCGCCCCTCCCCGACCCCCGCCTCACGGCCCTTCCCGCTCCGCTCCCGCACTCCGGGCGAGGCCGCGGCCCCCTTGTGCTGGGGCGGCGGAAGCGCGGATCGACCCCCGGGAGCAGCCGGTAACCCCGCTCTGCGCGCCCCGGCGGCCGCGCTCCCGGCTTGGCCGAGCGGGGGGAGAGCGTTCGGCCGCGCCTCGCCTCGCCTCGGGAGTCCCTGATCCCACAGCGCGGGGCGCGGATCCAGGCTCCCTGCGCCTGGTTTCGGTCACAGCCCCCGCCTCTCCGCCCCCCGCCGCCCCCCGGTCCGTGAGGGTGGATCCTCTCCGGTCCGCGGTGCAGGAGCGGGCCGGGGCCGGGCGCTGCCGGTTCTTTGGGTGTCACAGGCGCTGGGCGCCTATGTCGGGGCCAGGCAGCGGCTCTGCTCCAGCTCAGTCCTTTGCCTTCCGGCCTCCTGAGGTGCGAGCTGGAGCTGGGGAGGGTGGAAACGGGGTCCTGCTTTAGAGACCCGCTGAGGCTGATCCCAGCATCGCCGTGGTTCCATCACCGCGGTGGCGGTCCCAGGGGCGCAGGGCTGGGCTTGTTCCTGGGGAACGGGACCTTGTTCTGCCCTGCTCGCTCTGCAGAACGGGGCTAATCCCGGGTAAGCAGCGGGAGGCGGGCGGGCAGCTGCTGCCGGGCTGGGGGTGTGCACCCAGGGGTGGCAGCGCTCCACTGTGCCTGCAGGACGATGCTGGGTCCCTGTGACCCGGTCCCACCCTCCCCGCAGAGCAGGAGCGTGGTGCCCGGTGCTGAGCACGCTCCTCCTGGCTTAAACACAGCAAAGTGCCACCAGATCACCCCTCTGGGGCAGGGTCTGCTTTGCCTCTGTCCAGAGGCAGAACCCCCCTCTGGCTCCTCACGTCTGGGTCCTATGGCCACAGGGATCCCCCTGCAGCAGAGCGGGGCTGAACGGAGCCGTTTTCATCCCTGGTATCAGACAGGCTTGGGGGCCAGTGGGGGCCAGAGGGTTTGAGAACATTGCTGTGCTCTCTGCTGGGTTTTAGTGTGCAACCTCGGTGTGGGTGGGAGCTCGTTGTGCCACGACAGTGGGAACAGAGGGAGAACAGGGGTCCCTGCTCATCGGCAGCCCTGTTCTGGGGCTCAGCCCCCCCTGCAACCGGCTCCTCCCCTCGTTCCAGAGTGGCAACAGGTAGAGCACATCCTGCCCAGGGGTGATCCAGCATCTGCCCTAGTGAAACCAGAGCAGGAGCAGGTAGAGCACATCCTGCCCCTGTGTGATCCTGGATCTGCCCCAGTGAAACCAGAGCAGGAGCAGGTAGAGCACATCCTGCCCCTGCGTGATCCTGGATCTGCCCCAGTGAAAGCAGAGTGGGAACAGGTAGAGCACATCCTGCCTCTGAGTGCTCCTGGATCTGCCCCAGTGAAACCAGAGCAGGAACAGGTAGAGCACATCCTGCCCCTGTGTGATCCTGGATCTGCCCTGTCTGGGAGGTGCCTCGCGGGGCAGGACCTGTTCGTGCTGGGCAGGGTTCCGGAGCTGCCTCCTCCCCGTGCCCTGCCCCGGGCGGTGGTGGCAGCGTGCTCCGGGGGAGGCCGGCGATGGGATGGGTGTGAAGCCTCTCTGGGGGCAGGAGCCTGGGGAGGAGGCCCCGGCAGCGGGTGCGGTGAGGACGGCAGTGCTGGGAGCTGGTTCCACGCGTTCGCCCAGCCCAGCCGGGCTCCGGGTCCTGGTGCCTGGGGCCGAGCCTCGCAGTGCTCGGGTGGGTGGGGAGGTGTCGAGGGGAGCGGGGCGGGAAGGACGGCAGGAGGGAGGGAGCATCAAGTGCTGGAAGGAGAGGGAGCTGGAGTGGGACCTCACAGGGCCTCAACCAGAGCAGAGGAGACGGGCGGGAAGAGGTGGGAGGCAGCAGCGTTCCTACCTGCAGCCATCCCCAGCGAAGGAATCCGTAATTTCCTCTCCAGAAATGGAGAGGGGAGATGGGAGCAGCCCTTGGTGCGAGTGCAGGGAAACCCTCGGGATGGGGCAGCGCTCTGGGGGTGGCTGAGAGGAGCTGGGAAGATGCTTTGAAAAGGGGGTGCTAGGATTGGAAAACCCGGTGGAATTCTCGAGGGAGAGCAAAGAGGGAGTCACCGGTGGCACAGGGCTTGCCTGGGGCAGGGAGGAGCGGGGCTGAGCCGAGGGCAGGTCTGGAGGGGCCGGGAAGGAGGAGTCGTGGGACTGGAAGCAGCAAAGCCAGAGGAGTTGGGGGCAGGAGCGGAGCCGCGTGTGCCCCAGGGATGTGGGATGAGCTGAGGGTGCCTCCAGCAGGGAGCCTGTGAGTGCCCTTGTGGATGGGGACAGTGACAGAGAGAGGAGGGGTTTGAGGCGGGCAGGGGGTTGGAGGGGCCGGTGGCTGCGGCTTGTCTGGGGCTGCAGGAGGGGACAGATCCGGGGGGCTCGGGGGGTTGTGTTGTTGTTCTTGCACACCGGGGTGGGCATGGGGCAGCCGTGGTGAGGAGCTCCATGTCCAAGGAGAAGAGACAAATGCTGAGCCCATGGCAGGGGTCTGGGCACACTGCCCCATCCCTGGCAGTGTTCAAGGCCAGGTTGGACACTGGCGCTTGGAGCAAGCTGGTCCAGTGGAAGGGGTCCCTGCCCGTGGACAGGGGTTGGAGCTGGATGGGCTTTAAGGTCTCCCCAGCACAAACCAGGCTGGGATTCTGTGATCTCTGGAGGAGGGATGTCCCAGGGAAACTCCTCCAGCTTGGCAGTACCTGTTTGAGTTCGAGGTGTGGCTGTTTCATGGTGAAGCCTGTCGGAGGGCAGGGTGCTCTCGCAGCAGAGCAGCACTTTGCTCCTGCTAAAGCCATTAGCAGTGATCTCATCCCCAAACTTCCGAGTAACCGGCCCCTGGAATCACGGCGCTGGCTCCGGCCTCCAGCACTTCCCTGCGGGGCGGCAGCACAGTTTTGTCCCCAGCTCCTGTGTGTTTGTGCTGGGCTCTGACCCCAGCCCAGTGCTGTGTGTGGGGCAGAGCTGCTGCTTCTGCCGGGGCCAGCACCGGCTCTCTCTGCTGTCACACGTGGGGGGTGCCGGAGCCTCCCCGGCCCATCGACACAGGGGCAGGGAGGCGTGGGGTGAGCTGAGGGCCGGGCTGAGCCGTCCCAGGAGAGAGCTCCCGGAGGCAGGGCCGCGGTGGGAGCGGCTTCGTTATTCAGCCTGTGTCAGGCGCCCTGTTCTGAGCCCGAACCGATCCCTGTAAGGTGTCCGTGTCGTTAAATGTGCCTTTAATCCGGGGCCGCAGCCCTCGGCCCTCACGAGCGTTTGGTCAGCAGGAGGTGTTCTCCTGTGCACCCCGAGAGAAGGGCTGAGAGGCAGAGGAGGAGAGGACTGGAAGGAGGAAGCACAGGGGTGTTCAGTGCGAGGGGAGGCAGCAGCGTGGGGAAGGGGTCCCAACTCTCCAAACCCCTCCTGTGCTGTGGGACCCGTGTCTGTCCCGTCCCCGGGCTGCGCTCGGCTCCCGGTGTCCGGTGCCTCCCGCTCCCATCTCCAGAGGGTTCGGTTTGCTGGAATTCTGGGGTGTTCCCTCCTGCATCCTCATGAGCAGCCGAGGGTGGCACCTTCCCACCGGCACCCTCAAACAGTTGGGGCTGTGCAGTGGGAGCCCAGCGCTGCCTCATCCGGAGCCACGAGGGCTTCCTCTGGCCCAGGGACCCGAGGTTTTTCCATGGGCCCCTCCCATGTCCTGCCCCCCGGGGAAGGAGACGGAGCTCCCGGCTGTCCCCCGCGCTCCTGAGCCCCTTGGCCCCAGGGGCTGGGCGTTCTCCAGCGTTGGACTCAGCTGTGGCTGCAGGAAGGTGTTGGGCAAGAGGCTGTGGTGTCCTGGGCTGGGCTGGGTGCTGGAGCTTTGGGGCTGGGAAGGGCTGGGCCAGGCTCGGGGCTGATCACAGCCGCTCTGGCTCTGCCCATGCAGGATGGGGCCGCGGTGCCGGGGCCAGGCTTGGGGCTGACGGGCGCCCGCCCACGGGCTTCGATCCTGCACCTTGCACTGTGCGCCTGCTTCGTGCCCAGGGCAGCTCCTGCTCTCCGGTGAGCAGTGTGACCTGCTCTGTCTCTGCTCTGGCTAACCGGGCTCTGTCTCTGTTCCAGGTGAGCTGTGCTGCCGGATGTCGAGGTTGAGTGATTTTATGTTGGGTTTTTAGAAGACGAATGGATTAATGAAGAATTTTAGTGAAGGAAGGGGAGGAAAACATGGAGCGGTTTGGAACAAACTGAGACCTACGCAGGCCATGGGTGAGACAGACCCATCCAACACCATTCTCCCCATCGGCTGTCTTCTGGGG